GATGTAGTGAATTCTGATAAAACCTGTCATTGGCCCATTGCACAACAGACTGCTGGCCCAGGGTGTCTGCTGATGGTGCCTGTGGCTGTCCTGGGCAGTGATTACTGGCACAGCCCTTTCCTTTTTTTTTTTTTTTTTCCCTTTTCCACCAATTCTTTCCTTGCCACTTTTCCTTGACTTTGTCATTATCACTCCCAGAGTGTAGCTGGCTATCAGAGAAGGCATCAGAATTCCTACAGAGGAAGGATTATTGTTATTCCTATTATCTTGTGTCCCCATTTTCGCTAACTTTTGTCAAATCTAAGCTGCAGAAGCCTGGCATAGTGGTGTATGCCTGGAATCCCAGTGATTCAGGAGGCTGAGCCAAGAGATCACAAGTTCAAAGCCAGCCTCAGCAATTTAACAAGACCCTATCTCAAGATWAAAAAAAAAAGTCTTGGGATGTAATTCAGGGATAGAGCAACCCTGGGCTCAATCTGAGTACCACACATACACACAAACCTAAGCTACAAACAGAGTGAGACAAACAGCATGCAAAGCCATTTCAAAATGAGATGGTTCTAATGAGGCTACCCTGTGAGTCTGCCAGAATTAAATTAATAACAGAAAAGTTTGGTCCTGTGCTACTAGACCAAAAATAATTACCCAGACTCCTGTGGGCCTTAGAAGAGTCTTCTGTTTGACTAAGCAGCATTCTGGGTACACTTAAATTAAGATTCTTTTCTTAATGTCTTTTGAAGAATATGCTGATACTTAACTCTGGGAAAATTATGACATCTTCCAAACTGCCATCTGGGGAAAAAACAGGATTGGTTTTATCTGGGTGGAACAGGTGTGGTCCCAGTAAGTACAAGTAACTACATAGTACATCTTCAGATGGCTACCTAAAGCTTTTGGTCTTCTCATTCCTTCCCAGAAAAAGAATCTCTTTGCATTCTTTGACATGGCCTACCAAGGCTTTGCCAGYGGTGATGGTAACAAGGATGCCTGGGCTGTGCGCCACTTCATCGAACAGGGCATTAATGTTTGTCTCTGCCAATCATATGCCAAGAACATGGGCTTATATGGTAAGCTAGAGGACCCAGTGTGCTATATGTTCTGATGAACTTGAGTTTGGGTTGCATATGTATATATCCATGTTGCTCCCTACCCAGRGAGGAAAGATTGGTATAGTGGATTTCACAGATTTTTCTTTATCTTCTTCAGTGTCCTTGAATTCCTCCAGCTAAGAAAACTGATTACTGTTTCTCTAAACAAAAAGTAACTAATTCAGGAGCCAAGAAAATAGACAAAATGAAAAGAAATCTTGAATACTCAAACTTTCTGGTCGCCTCAATTCACCATTCTGTCTGCTAAAAACTTTAATTATCGGGGCTGGGGATGTGGCTCAAGCGGTAGCGCGCTCGCCTGGCATGCGTGCGGCCCGGGTTCGATCCCCAGCACCACATACAAGCAAAGATGTTGTGTCCGCCGATAACTAAAAAATAAATATTTAAAAAAAAAACTTTAATTATAATAAAAAAATTATTTTCATGGTCCCTTCTGGTGGAAACAGATAATATTCAACAAATTTAATCATGATTTGCTTTAATGTATTAGATGGGAGAACTAGAAGACAAGATCTATTTTGTCTTTTCAGGCGAGCGGGTGGGAGCCTTCACCATAGTCTGCAAAGACGCTGATGAAGCCAAAAGGGTGGAGTCACAGCTGAAGATTGTGATTCGCCCCTTGTATTCCAACCCTCCTCTCAACGGGGCCCGGATCGCCTCTACCATCCTGACTTCCCCGGATTTGCGAAAGCAGTGGTAAATATTCCTTGCCACTCCCCAGCCACCTAGGTGTTCTGACCACCGCTCCTTCAGAGCTAGTTTAAATTGACCTCTAGTGACAATAGAACCTTACAGGTTCCACATGTGAAAGGGGATAAGAAGAAAGAAAGAAGTGTGCACTTTGTCCACAGAAATAAGAAATTTCATAATTCAGAAATAGCAGTTCCTCTTACTCTTTCATCTCTATTTAATAAAACCTGCCTTTCCCTAGAATCAAGTTCAAATTGAAGTAGCATATATAGGAAAACTTCCTTCATTTTAAAACTTCACATTTTAGTTTTTGTTTTGCAGTGCTGGGGATCAAACCCAGGGCCTCACACATACTAGGCAAGCATTCTACCACTGAGCCATCCCCAGCTCCCACATTTTTGGTTTTGTCCCAATAATAGYGAGCATTGCATCAATATTTTTTCATATTTTTGGTTTTGGTTATCTGTCATCTAAGTCTTAGTACCTGTTCTCTAAATTAGTGTTACTTAATCTTTTGGTGGGGGGGGCACCAGTGATTAAACTCAGGGGCTCAACCACGAGCCCCATCCCAGTCCTATTTTGTATTTTATTCACAGACAGGGTATCACTGAGTTGCTTTGTGCACCTTGCCATTGTGGAGGCTGGCTTTGAACTTGAGATTCTCCTGCCTCAGCCTCCCGAGCCACTGGGATTACAGGCATGCGCTACTACACCCAGCTTAATCTTTTTTTTTTTTTTTTTTTCCTATATTTTTTTAGTTGTTGATGGACCTTTATTTATTTGTACACAGTACAGAGAGTCAAACCCAGTGCCTCACACATGCTAGGCAAGTGCTTTACCACTGAACTACATCCTTAGTCCTTTGTATTTTCCTTATTTAATTTTGAGACAGGGTCTCACTAGGACTGGCCTGGAATTTATGAACCTTCGCCCTCAGCCTTCTGGRTTGCTGGGATTACAGGCATGCACCACTGTGCTAAGCAGATTTTTATCTTAATATGTGCATTTCAGTACACGCTTGAGATCTATAGTGAATAAAGCTGACAGACACTGTGCTAGTAGATAACCAAAACACAGTTTGTACCTTCAGGAAGTTTAGAATCCAGTGAAAAAGGTACACATGTAACATTGATAAAAGACAGCATGGAATAAATGCTAACTATAAGAGAGCTGCCGATTCAGGTGGAAATTGAGGGTGTAGTGAGGACTGCTGTGTGAGCTGTGCCTTAAGAATGAGGGTTTTTTTCCCTTAAAAGAAATGAAAGGAAAGGGAAAATGGACAGAGAAGCCTCCCTGAGAAAAGGCACAGACAAGGGACATGCTTTGTACAGAGTGTGCATAGAAAGTTCCATGTGGTTTCTGTGGTGAAAATACTGAGAGGAAGAACATCAAAGCTGAGGGGTAGAGCCAACAAGGAGGCACCTTATTGATATTGTGAGAAGTGGGCTTCTGCTCAGTGTAGAGAGCTCGCCTAGCGTGCATGAGGCCCTGGGCTCTATCTCAATACCCCAAAAAAAGTAAGAGAAGACACAGATAATTTGTTTATCCTCTGGACAACAGGGAGGGTGGGGGGCTTTCTAAGGTAGTGTCCACGTGGGTCATACTCTTGATGCCTTTAGGACCTGGGCCTTGGAGTGAATGGAGCTGGATGAATGGAGCAAGAAACGTAAAATCATATGCCAATTGGAAAGAGGCCAGGGGTTCCAMAGGCCCAACCAGTAATCACACTACTAGAATTGTGCTGCCAGCTTCTTGTTTTTTAGGAGAAATTACAAATCTAAAATTATATGTGCCCGTTTTTTCTTTTGTTTTTCCTGGTACTGGAGATTGAATCCAGGGCCACTCAACCACGGAGCCACATCCCCAGCTTGTTTTATTTTTTATTTTGAGGCAGGTTTTTGCTAAGTTAGAGAGGCTGGCCTCAAACTTGTGATCTTCCTGCCTCAGCCTCCTGAATTCCTACGATTATAAGTAGGCGCCACTGCCCGGTGCTAGTACCCAATTTTGAAATGTTTCACTGGGTCAGAAAAACATACCTAGGACTCTATATTTAGCCTTTYAATTGACAGTTCGTAAACTCTGTTCTAGCCATTGGGTATTATGGTCATAGAGAGATGGTTTAGGAAAGTGAACACATAACACCAGGAAGATAAACTTCATGCTATTTCCATGATCCAGTTAATAACCTCTGACAAGAATTTCCCACAGCGCCATGGGAATGAAATAGAAGGGTAAATTCTGAGAAAGAAGAAGACTGTTCAGAATCAAGTGAGTGGTGCAGGGTGCAGTGGTCCTATAATCCCAGGAAGCTGAAGCAGGAGGATCACCAAGTTGAGGCCAGCCTATGCAACTTAGCAAGACCCTGTATCAAAATAAGAAAGGACTAGTGATGTAGCTCAACKATAGAGAATCCCTGAGTTCATTCTCCACTACCACAAAAAAAAAAAAAAAAAGAATCAAGTGGCATGTGTGCATAGAAGAGTGCATTATCTACTCCCCAGAACAAATTCACCTTTCTCCTCTTTTAGCACAGCATTCTTACATTAGCATTACGTTACGTGGCCCTGTTCCATAGCTGATTTTTTACAGATTTGGCTCCTGTCACCCTCTGTTAGCTTTTACAAGCAAGGACCATTTCTCAGTCYTCAGCACCTAGCACATGGCTTGGCTTGTTGTAGGTTCCCAGTGCATTGTCTTCATTGTGAAGCAGAAATGTTTATTCTACCCATGTAAAGAGTAATGTCATTGGGGGCTGGAGTTGTAGTTCAGTGTAAAGTGCGTTMCTAGCACATATGAGGTACTAGGTTTGATCCTTAGAGTCACATAAAACWAAACAAATACAATGAAGGCATGCCATGCATCTACAATTACAAAAAAAAAAAAAAAAACTGGAAACTTCTGGTTAAACAGAAATTTTTAAAAAGCGGGAGAATAATGTCATATTTTGTTTAACCCATAGCTTTTGCCTCCGTCTTCCTAAGTTTTTGAGTGATACCTTTGCTTAATATTCAAGTGTGTTAACTTTCAGTTGTGTGATCAAAGAATTACTATAATTTAAAACAGTGCTATAGCTGGACGTGATGGCACACACCTGTATTCCCAGCTACTCAGGAGCTAAAGCAGGAGGATCATAAGTTCAAGACCAGTGAGAGCAATTTAATGAGACCCAGTCTTAAAATAAAATTTATAAAAGGGAGATGTATGTCAATGACAGAATACTTGATGAACATATGCAAGACCCTGGGTTCAACTCCCAGTACCAAAAATTAGAAAAAACAGTGCTACAAAATAGTTTACTTCCCTGGCCAATGACAACATGTCTCCATCAAGGACTAAGAATTGAGGCAAACAGGAGAGGAACTCGGGAGGTAAAAACATTGTTGGTATTTGGCAGAATGAGCTACCTCTTGGGGTCTCCTTGCAGGTTGCAGGAAGTGAAAGGCATGGCCGACCGCATCATTAGCATGCGGACCCAGCTGGTCTCTAACCTCAAGAAGGAG